CCAAAGAGTAACTGTTAAAACTCCAGACTGCCTGTAATTCTGATAAACTTGAAAGCAAGGTTGACAAATCACTGCCAGCTTCTAAATCTAGAGCTACATTATACAACAATTAATTTTGAAAACAATTCTACTGCAAGAGAGCAAAAGTCTCAGAAAGCCTGTTGGCACAGACTACCTGCTTGTCTGGCACCTGCATGTTGATCTTTCTGTTTGTTGGGCTGTAGGTCCATATCTTCATCATCTTCATAACTCCTCTTGTGGCGACTGGGAGTGTAGGATGTTGAAGGACTGACTCGAGCTTGGTTTGCATTAACATAGGCGTTAAATGAAAGGTTAAGGAAAGAGTACCATGAACCAGGGAATATCCTTAGTGCTAATTATATGACTAATAAAAGACTACTACTTTGGCAGTTTGGTTAAAATAAAAATATATTTTTCAAAGAAGGCTGCTGCATAAAGTAAGTAAGCTACAAGGACATACTATACAGCACAGGGAATATAGCCAATATTTTATAATAACTACAAATGGAGTATAATCTATTAAAAAATTCTTATCACTGTTGTATATCTGAAACTAATATTGTAAATCAACTATACTTCAATTATAAAAAAAAAGGATTTTTAAAATTAAAAAAAAAAAGAAGGCTGTACCTCTAGTTTTGGTCATAAGAGTTAACAGCTCAAACTTATGCCCCCTACTGTGCTGTAAAGAATTGTAAAATTGGACAAAAGACATGAAGCAACTGTTTTCAGTCTCTGGACAACACGGAGCATAAGGTTATGATCTTTAAATGAGAAGAAACACAGCAAGTAAACTCCACATTCTCCCCAGCTCTTTCTTGAGGGAGCTCTTTTCTTGCAATTTTCCGAACTGCAACAAAAGGAAGGGGAGGCTGAGCTCCCTCGTAGAGAAAACAGAGCACCTAGTTCAGGGCTACTGAAGTACCTGGAATGCAGAGAACGGTTAGAGGAAGGAGTTGCAAACAGAGGCCTAGCAGAGAGCAGCTGCTGCTCGGCTGGGAGCCATACAGAGATTCTGGAGATTGTACAGAACTAGAACAGGATCCTGCTGATCATCCTGGACAGTTAGGTGAGACCCAGAAATAGCACATCTCACAAGTAAGAACTACATCCTGCACTGTAAGTGCTACTCTTTATCTACCTTAACAAATCCCAGAACCACACCTTGACAAGATCAAAGTGATCCACTCTAATTACCTGCCTGCCAGAACAAAATTCAACACTTCTGAAATGACAACAAAACTAAACTTTCTACAGTGTTGTCTATCAGCATAATTAATCATAACACATCCTTAGTTATGTGAAGGAGCAGAAAAACATGGCTAAGTGGGATTAAAACATTCAAAAGAAAAAAAAGAGAGAGAAAGAGATGACCAGGATATTGGAATTAGCAGACAAGGGCATTAAAAAGCAATTGTAAAATTTATAATTTTAAAAGAAAACATGGATGTGAGTCAGCATATGAGAAGTATTATCAGAAATGTGGAAACAAAGAAAAAGAACCAAACAAAAAAATCTGTAATTGAAAAATAAGATTTAAAAAACACCCTGAATCACCTGGAGGGCAACAACAATTAGTTTAACAATTATATGACTGGAGTCTCAGAAAATGAGAAAATGATGAGAAACTGGGACAGAAAAAAATATTTGGAGAAATAATGGCTGAAATCTTCTGAAAAATATCAACCCACAGATTCAAGCTCAACAAAACCCAAGCAAAATAAATACACAAAAAACCCCACACCTGGTTCATAGTCAGGCTGCTGAAAACCAAAGAGTATTAGAAGCAACCAGAGGAAAATCAAAGACACATTATATAGCGGGGACAATGATACAAGTTACAGCTAGCCTTTTATCAAAAAACAAGCCAGAAGACAGTGGAAAAGTATCACTAAAGTGTCAAAGATGGGAGATACCCATCAATCAAGAATTCTATATCCACTGAAAATATCCTTCAAAAATAAAGGTGAAATAAAGACATTTTCAGTTGAAAAAAAGCTGAGAAAGTTCATCACGAACAGATCTGTACTTTAAAAAAAAAAGGTTTAGTGAAACGATTCTAGACAGAAAACAAAGGTAAAAAGATCTGGAAACAGTAACTGTCCACAAATATAAAAGATGTAACTTTTCCCCTCATTTCTTAATTTATGTAGGAGACAAATGTTTAAAGCAAAAATAATAATACATTGTAGGTTCTACAAGCACAAGTGAAATGTATGACAAGAGCACAAAGGATGAAAACGAAATCAACAGAAGGATCAAGGATCAAAGGAGAAATCACATGGAAATTAGAAAATACTTTGAACTGAATGAGAGTTAAAAACAAGTCGAAGTTTGTGGGATCCAATTAAAGCAGAGACTAGAGAGAATTTTATAGCCTTAAATGCTAATATTAGAAAAGAAAGATTTGAATTGAATGATGTGAGCTTTGAGAAGGCAGGAAAAAAATTAAAACCAAAAAAAGGAAGGAAATAATAAAAGCAGAAGTCAATGAAACAGAAAACAGAAAATTTTAAGTTAGTTTTCTGACAAACCCTTAGCAGTACTCATCAAGCATAAAACAGAAAAATAAATTAACATTTTAGAAATGAAAGGAAATCATTGCTAGATATCCCTTAGATGTTACAAGAAAAATAAGTAAATACTATGAAGCTTTATGTCAATAAATTCAAGAACTGAGATTAAATGATTTTGGAACATTCCTTAAAAGATAAAATTTATCACAACTGACACCAAATATTTGTTAAAAACTGAATTAGTATTTTAAAATCTCACCCCAAAAATGCCAGGCCCCAAACTGGAAACAACCCAAATGCTCATCAATTGGAAATTATATAAGCAAATGCCAATGAGCAATAAAAAGGAATGAACTATGGATACACATACGGATGAATCTTTAATTATTAAGCTGAACAAAGGAAATCAGACACATTAAAACTATACATTATATGATCCCATTTGTATGACATTCAAGAATAGATAAAACAAAGCTTTATAGTGAAAGAAATCAGAGTAGTGGTCGGTTGTAAGGGAGGAGGTGGTGACTATAAAAAGGTAGAGTTCTTTATTTGGATAGGCATGCTAATTACATGGGTGTATGCATTTATCCAAACCATCAAAGTGTACCTTTAAAATCTGTGCATTTCAGTATATGTGAACTAGGCCTAAAAAAATGACTAACTGAAAAAAAAAATAGAAACGAGACTGAGATGTTTCCATAATCTCTCAATAGAACAAACATGTTTTCCTGTAAGAAAATTAGAATGAGTTCTAATTTAAAACTATTTTTTAACTTAATTATTGTGGTACTCTCTTTTTCAGTCTCTTTAAATCTACCTCAGTCTTTTAAACAGTATTTCATTAGAGAAATGTACCATAATTTTATAATTTCGTAGTGATGGATACTTAAGGTTGTTTTTATAAATTTTCTTAAGACAAGATTTTATCAAAATAAAGCCAACCTCTGTAAATGAAGAATAATTTTTTTTCCCAGCTAACTTCACTCAGGTAAAAAAGACTGTTTTTTTTTTAAATCAAAATGTAAATGGTGGTCTTTTTAATTAAGAAAATCAATTAGGAACCATTCAACACATAAGAAGATTCAGATAAAGGATATTTCTTTTACCCACATAGATTCTCCAGGCACTGGAACACAATAGAAAGTCTGTCTTTCCAAAGTGGTAGTTCGTGGAGAGTTTAAATCAACTTCTTGCTGAGGCTGTGATGTACACAAAACATTTTAAAAATTTTATTATTTATTTAATTTTATTTTTTAAAACTTTAAAAATTAGCAACCACATTTTCATGTTATCTTAAAATCACAGTAAATATTTCATATTTAAGACTGAATCTAATCAACAAGCAACTAATAAATCCCAACTATTTTTTAAAAGAAAACAGACATAAAATTGCTTCAACTGCAACAACCAATCTAGTACCTTCCTGAAATACAAAATACACAGTACTCTAGGTTACAAAATTAAATCCCTTAAAGTAACCGGGACATTTTACTATTTTTTTCCAAAGACAAAGCACATGGTAATCCAACTGTCTCTCTCGTAGAAAGCAATCAGAATCAGCCTATGAAATACTCATTACAAGGTAGCTCTTAGATGTGATTTTAAAGTCAGATACTATTCCGTAAAAGATATATTCAAATATACTTCGAAAATCCTAAGAGGTAGAGAGAACTCAAGATGTTTAATGCTGAAAAAAAAAATTATTTCAAAAAACACATTACTTCTACAGTACAAAAAAAATCCCCTAAAAGTCAATAAAATCCGTATTTTGTAGGAGAGAAAAAGAAAAAGAAGAAAGAAAAAAAGAACCCAAGACACATCTGTTGCGCCTGTAGATAATATGTAAGTTAGGGTTTTTGTTTCTTTCTTCCCAGGCCCAAAGTCCCCTTTTCCTGGCGTGGTGCTTTTACTTGTGACTCTTTACCAACATAGTACAAACTCTCTGCCTTTCGAAGTGTTACAGATGGACAGTCTCATCTATTTTATTTTCCCATTTCTAGATTCCGAGATTACTGAGCTATACACTGACACTGCATGGTTATGTACTAGAAAAAAAAAAGTTGTGTATTAATATATCAGCCTAATATGACTTAGGGTTCCTTAAACAAGAGATGCAGGAAACATTTATAAAGTTGTTTCATTAGACTTGGCACAACAATGCACACTATGGAAACATCCTAAAAGAAAAAAGACACTGGGAGACCTGAAGGTTATCGTATGTAAGATTAAGCGAATCCATCTTTCATGAGTCCATTACTCTAAATAAGTTTAGGAAGTTGTATTTCTTATATTTGTGTTTAATATAATCTTTATGGCAACCTTTCAAACTGGGGCTTTTCTTCCAAACAGATCAGCCCATTGAACAGGAACATTTATTAAATCAAGAACAGTATCTATGGTGAATTAACAGGCTGGTATTAGGGTTTATAAATTAAAACTGAGGTTTGGGTAAGGAGTCAGACTCCCAGAATGTAAAAAGCCCTAGCTAGTCTGATTAAACCAAGATTCTGGATTTGCAAAGCAGAGCTCTAGATCCAGAATGGAGGTAATGGAGGCCTCCACTGAGGCCCACCTTTCTACTGAGGTCTTGCCTAAGCACCTGTCTGGTCAATCTTCATCTGTGATAATGCCAACAATTGACAATTACCAACCATGTTTCAACAGAAACCATACGAAAAATGCAAAAAGTAAAATGTAAGAGACATTTTTAGTTAATATATTTTGACATGTTGATAATCTTCTTCTACTGTTAAACTAAAAATAAATTTTAAACTTTCCCCAGTTATAGTATCAGGCATGTTGGACAGGTGTCTAAATGAAATTAAGTTTAATTCTGCATGTTTTCCACCTATTATCAGAAAAGTATACCCCCCAAAATGCAGATACACTGTGTTCCTCTATAATGGCTTTTCTAGTAAGTTTCCATCTTCCATCAAAGGACTACCTCTTTCACAACTATAATTATATCCAGGATTCTGTGTTCTTCCCTCCTCCATTACTGGTAAGTAAGAGAGTTTCTAGCACTGTTTTATTGAAGAAAGCTTAAGTTTATGCTTTTCCTCCTAGGGAAAGAGCAGGATTTAATCAAATTTACCTAAGCAGGTGTTAAGCCCTAAAGTAATCTTTTAACTTTTCATTTTAAAAGAATTTATCGTAACATATAATTTTTAAAAGTATATAGATATTGGGAAAAGAAAGCAATTAGTTTTGTCATTTACAATATTCCACATTCTAAGAGATTTTAGAAGATCAAAAAAATCGTATCAGAGAAACTCAAGTAAAAGGCAAATAAAGAAAACATTTCACATAACTTCTTAGAATTAACTTACACACAAGACATTAACCAAAGAAAAGTAATACATTCTCCGCTTAGGAAAAAAATTCTCCTTAAAAAGTTTTTTTTTAATATATTTTAAGTATACATACCCCACACTCTGCTACATCTCTATATTTTCCAAAATGAAGAACCTATGACACAAAACAAAGAATAACAGTATTACATGAGTATATCAGAATCAAAACTACCATAAACAATATAAGGGCAAAATTAATACTACTAATTGCAAACAGTAAGTTTCATGAAAAAACCAATACATACACGTGCTTTTGTGTTTCGGTTAACAGTTTCATAAACTCCCATGTAAAATTCAGGGTCAAACATATCCTGAATCATGCAACGAAACTTCACAAAACTGTTAGGTTTCAAATAATGAAGGGGAACTTCATTCAATGATGGTACCTTAAAGAAAAACAGTCAAGTCAAAATATTCTGTCTACAAAACATTAAGCACATATATATAGCCTATCTATCCATCCATCTATCTAAATTCAAATTACAATCCCCATAAACAAAAAAATCAAGCCCTATCAGGAGTCAATTGATCTCAACGGTCAACATAACACAATTGGTGGACAAAAGCACTTTTAAGATCTTGCAAGTTTGTATGATGACATTTGACTATAATGAAGAGGATGCTTTTCCTTCAGAACACTTTCCAGTTAGCAGAAAAGCACTTGCTTTGTTGAGCTCTTAAAACTCACGCATGCCAGTTCTTTTAAAATGAAGATAATAAAACAAAAGATAATGAAAGCTCTCATAACTACCCACTTTTTTCTGTCTTTTGAAATATCATGGTCAATTACTGCCACCTAGAGGTGCCAATATAGAAGGATTTAATTGCTTGAATTTAAGTTGCAAAAGAGACCAAAATCTTTTAATACATATGCACTTAAAAAGGGCTATCCACAGTAATTTATATATTGTTAAATTATATGTAGATCACTACTGAGAGAAACTGGAAGTTTGCCCACCTTTGCCCCGCACCACACACACCCCCACCCCCGCCCTACCACAACAGCAATAAACTTACCCATTTAGGAGCATTATTTTCCTTCAGCTTTTCCTTAAAATATTCAATTACTTTCTTCTCCCAGTCAGGATTAACTCCATTTTGAGCTGGAAGAAAAATATACTTTTCAAACCTGAAGGGACAATATACAATAATAGACTACGTTCAGGTGAGTCACACAATTCGTTTAGCGTGCCTTATCGGAAACACTGGGCAAGACACTCCAGAAGCTGCCCTGTTGTGAGGTTGTCAGGACAATCAGGGCGAGGCTGACCACTGGCGGGCCCTCAGGAGCTAACCACCTCCTGAGAACACACACAGAATGAGATATGAGGCTTCCTTGGCAAAGCAGCACAGGAACCATCATTTGAAAAGCACACTGCTCTTTGAAAACATTTTTATATAGATTTTTAAAATCTTTACAACTATGCTGAAATGTAGAGCAGAGGTGGTTTTTTTTTGTGGGGGGGATAATTTCAAACATTCAAAAAAGTTGCATGAAAAGTACAAGGTACCTACAGGCTGCTCCATTTGCTTTATCATCCGCTCTCTCTCTCGCCCTTAACTCACTTAAGTTACACACATCGTGTATTTTTACCTTTAAACAATTTAATGTGCTTCCTAAGAGTAGGGTGATTATTTTATATAACCACAGTACCTGTTGTCAATCTCAGGAAATTTAAAATTGATACAGTATGTTTTATTTAATCTACCATCTATATTCCAACTTGTTATTTGACCCAACACTACCCTGTATTGTACTTTTTCCCCTTCAGTACAGGACCCAGTCTAGGATCACATACTCCTTTTAGCTATCTTTAAAAAAAAAACTCCTTTATTTTGGAACAGCTTCTCAATCTTTCTCTTTTATGACATTGATATTGAAGAACGTAAACCCTTTGTAAGAAACCAGAATGCTCCTCACTTTGGGTCTGTCTGATGTTTCCTTATTATTAGACTGCAGTTACGTGTTACCAGTCACAGTGCTACGAAAGTGATGCTGTGTTCTTGCAAATGCATTATCTAGAGACCAGATGTCCATCTTCTCCTCACTAATGGTGTTCATTTTCATCACCCAAAGTGATAGTTTCTCCACTGTAGTTACTTTTCCGCTTTTACAACTAATGAGCAATCTACAGGAGATACCTCAAGACGATGCAAATAATTTTCATGAAACTTGTCCTGACCACAAGATTTAGCATCTACTTATGCTTCCCGCAGTGATGATGGCAAAATGAGAGAAAGGTGTTTTTAACGTCATGTTAAGAACAAGAAAACCAAGATTTTGAAGAATTATGGGAATTGGCCAAGACCAAAGAGTGAATTATCAACAGAAAAAGGAAAACATGATTTCATGAACTAGCCCTACTTAACCATAGCCTGGCCAATACTTCCCCTATCACACAGGTACCATACTCATCACACAGGGGCTATGGAGATGTGGAGTAAAGGAATTTTGTCTGTATTTGTTATGGAGTTGATTCAGTCAAAAATATTCACAAAATCCAGCTCATACCATGCTTTAGCAGAGATTCCAAATGCTTTTACTTAACTGAACAAAGGCCAGTTCTTAAAAAGCACTCACGGAGGGGAAAACTACTTCAGTGATTCTGATGTGCAATGAGGGTCAGTTAACTCTACTAGGAAACTGGTTCTCAAAGCGTGGGTCCCAGACCAGCAGCATCAGCACCACCTGAGTAGTTGTTAAAAAGGCAAACTCTTCAGCCCATTCCAGACCTACTGACAGAAACTCTGGAAGTGAGGCCTAGCAATTCGTGTTTTAAAATACCCTCTAGGTGATTCTGAAGCACACGGAAGTCAGGACCACAGCTCTACCAGATACACACCACTAAAAATTATTGAACTGGGGAGGGGGGACAGAATGGGTATTTTTGCTTCTAGTCAAAACAGACATTTAAAGGAAAGACTTACATGCAGCCACGATTGCCACACCAACACTACTATTCTGACTGTATCTGTGTAAGAAACTTGAACTGCCACATCACAGGGGATGAAGCTACATCAAAGAGTGGTTGGGAAGCAGTAAGTTACTTCTCAATAACTTACATGTATACAAAATATTTTTACGTAAAGCCAGCTTACAAATACCTAGTACTGCTGGACAATTAAAAGGACTCTAATAGATATTTCCAAAATTAACAAGAGTACAATAACTGTCCATTATTAATTAATTCCACTGCACATCCAGCACTCCACCAGGTGCTATCAGGATACTTAGAGCTAAGATAAGCTATGGATAAGACAACAGGCAAAAGCAAAGAGGAGAAACTAACGCAGGTCAAAGAAATCTCAGAGGCAGCTTCCGAAAGTGTTTGATCCAGGCCTGGAAAGAGGGGTAGAAATGAAACATGCTGAAGTATAAGGAATGGGCATATTCCAGATGCAGGGCACTCTGAGGGAAGAAACAGCAAAGGTAAACCGAGGAAAAGGATGGACACTACAGAAATTCAAGTACATGGAGCACTAAGTGCCTCGGAGAGAATAAAGCCAATGAACAAAAGGAAGAAGAGGCCACACAAATCACAGAGAGTTTTCAGTGCCAGGCTACAGACTCGCTCTCTATTCACAGACAACTAGCCTTTACATTCTCAGGCCCTAGCAAGGGCCTGGGACATAGCTATTGGAGTTAGAGAAGTAAAATTAAGTAAGTACAATGTAGAGAAAATAGGTTGTTCTGCAAAACAAACATCCATTTCCTCTTTTTCCAGTGACGCAAGTGCCTCTTTTTAGGGGAGGAACCACTGCACCCTCACTCTTAGTCCAAGGGTGGACCTTACCTAGGCCTCACAGTGATTCTGATGATTGGTTTAGGGGTTCATCAACCAAGGACAATCCTGAGAATAAGGTTTAGGAACTGTTTTTGACATCATAGGTTATAATCCTGAAGCTGCAGGCGGCCACTGTGACCAAGGTCTGACTGAAGACTAAGCCATCCCAGAGGAAAGTGCAGAGAGGCTGATTTCTGTAGACAGTCTGAAGCACTTGGCTGTAATTGAGCCTGACATTAACCCACTCAGGAACTGTTACCTGAGACAACATATTCATCTTCTTCGGTTTAAATAGAATCGAGTTGGGCCATTTGCAACCAAGAGTCCTGCTGAGCACACACATTTCACTCTACCATACTTCCCATGAATCCCTGGCCTTCTGAATGTGAGCACCACTACACTCAATCTTGCCCTAGTTCAAGCGGTCAGGGAACTAAGGAACAAAAAACCATACACGCTTTTACACTTTCACCATCAGTGTATGAGGGATCTAGGTGTTCTCCTCCACCAATACTTGTCCATCTTTTTAATCACTGCTAGTCACTGTGCTGGGTATGCAGTGGTACTTCACTGTGGTTTTAATATGCATTTCCCTGATGACTAGTGATGTACACCTTTCCATGTGTTTATTGACTGTCACAATAAATCCTTTTGTAAAGTGCCTGCTCACAATTTTTTCCATTAAAAAATGATTTTGTTGTAGCATCCATGATTTGTACAAATTTGGGGTATTCTGGATGCAAGTCTTTTGTCAGACATATGTAGTAGGGTGAGTATTTTCTCCTAATCTATAGTTTTCTTTTTAACATTCTTTATGATGTCTTTTTTTTTTCTTTTGATGGAGGTGCTGGGAATTGAACCCAGGACCTCTTGCATGTTAAGCATGCACTCTACCACTGAGCTATACCACCCCCACCTTAATAGTATCTTTTGGTAAATTTTCAATTTTGATGAAGTCCAATTTTTCCATTTTTTTCCCTTTTATGGCTACTGACCCCAAGTTCATGAAGATATTCTCCTATTTTTCACTTTTCACATTTAAGTCTATAATCCATATCAGGTTAATGTTTTTGTTTATAGCATGATGTACAGGTCAAGGCTCATTTCTTCCAAAAAGATATCCATTTGTTGCAGCATTAATTAAAAGCCTTTCTAGCAGTAAACTGCCTTGGCACTAATGTGAAACTCAACTCCTAGACACCATTAAGAATGTCAAAAAGAAAGCTACAGAAGAGGAGAAAATACTCACCCTACAATACCCAATACCAAATCACCTTAATCACTATAGCTTGATAGTAAGTCTTAAAATCAGGTAATGTTCTCCAATTTTGTTTTTCAAGTTTGTCTGATTATTCTAGATCCTCAACATTTCTATATAATTTTGAGGAACAACTTGTCAACTTCTATGTAGTCTTCTAAAATTTCAATTAGGGTTATATTGAATACAGATTTGAGGAGAATTTACATCTTAACAATATCAAGTCTTCCAATCTATTAACTTTTCCACGGGAGACAGCATAAGGAAACCTATATACAGATTCTTCCAGACTCCATCTGTGTCTTCTCCCGCTTAGGATCTGGCTGTGTATCTTTACTATGCTGCTATAATAAATCTTAGCCAGGAGTACAACTACATACTGAGTCATATATGTCATTTTAGTGAATCTCCAAACATAGGGGTGGTCTTGGAATCCCCAACATATAAATGCATTAATAGCTCATTTCTTTTTATTGCTGAGTAATATTCCACTGTTTAGCTGAACCACAATTTGTTTCTCCATTCACCTGCTGAAGGACATTTAGATTGTCTCCAGGTTTTGATAACTATAAAAAAAATTATAAGCATTTGTATACAAGTTTTTGTGTGAACATAAGCTCTCATTTCTCTAGGGTAACAACCTAATGGAACAGTTGAGTATACATGTATGGTAAATACATCATTAACTTTAAGATTTCTCCTGCTTCCCAGAGTTGCTATATCATTTTGCATTCTTATCAGCAATGCATAAGATCCAGCTGTCTGCATTCTTTCCAGTACTTGTTATTGTCATTAAAAAAAAAAAAACTCTTAGCTATTCTAATAGTTGTGATATCCCACCATGGTTTAAATTTGCATTTCCCTAGTGACTAACGATACTGAACTCTTTTCACGGGGTTATCTGCCATCCTTATATCCTCTCTGATGAAGTGTCCATTTAGAGCTACTTAAATCTTTTGCTCCTTTTTAAATTGGGTTAATTACTATTGCATTTTCTTTATATATTCTAGCTACAATTCATTTATTTGACCTATGATTTTCAAACATATTCTCTCAACCTATAGCTTGTCCTTACTTTTGCCTAATAATGTCCTGCAGAACAAGTTTTTA